GGAAGTTATAATATCAAAAGTCATTGATGCCGACATAGCCGACCATTTGACTTTATTTTTGGAGATAAAAGACTTTAATATTTTAAGTGATACCAGTTATGTCAACAAAAGATTTATTAATGAACGTACAATTTTACAGTTCGCAGAAAAGTTATCTGAAATTAGTTGGCATGGACTAGAAATGGGAAATTACTGCTCCCAGGAGATTTGTAATATAATATTTACCATTCTATGTCCTATTGTAGATCTATGCTTTTCCATAAAAAAAATTCGCAGTGGTGACAAAAAGATTTTGTGGTTTAATGAGGAACTGCGGGTACAGCGAAATCAAGTATTTCAAAACAAATCTAGATTCAAAAAAACCAATTCGTTAGAAGATTGAAGACTATATTCTGAATCGTGCAAAAACTATAGGAGGTCAATTAGATTAGAGAAACGTAACGCTTACAATAAAAGAATAGCTGCATCAGAAAATAAAAATAAAACAATCTGGAATATTGTAAACGCAGAAAGAAAATCCAACAACAAATCATCCAGTACATCGAATCTAACATCTGAAGACTTCAATGTAGCAGAGAAGGTTATTCAAACAATCGAAAACGATAATAATATTTCCTCTAATGATTTTATTAAAATGACACCGAAGCCCCCGTATTCGTTTTTTATGGGTCCAGTCTCTGAATCTGACGTAAGAGAGGCTATACTTCATATTAAAAATACGCCATGCACGGATTACTATGGCCTCAGTAGTCCCATGATTAAGGCCTCTATAGAATCCCTCATTAAACCACTTAATATTTTATATAACCAATGCATAATCGAAGGAAATTGGCCTAACCAACTTAAAATTAGTAAGGTATTGCCACTTTTTAAAAAAGGTGATTCTAATGATGCTGATAATTATAGGCCAATTGCCATTACACCTGTTATCGGTAAGATATTTGAAGTAAAGCTAAAAGAGAAATTAGTTAACTATTTTGAAAATAAAAATTTATTCTCGCCAGCCCAATTTGGGTTTAGAAGGCATAGATCTACAATAGGAGCAGTCGCAAAAGTAATTGATTACATAGTCGGTGGCTTTGACGAGGGCTCGAGTACTACTGCGGTATTATGTGACCTCACTAAGGCCTTCGACTGTGTAAGCATTGATATTATTTTGGAAAAAATGGAGTACTATGGCATAAGGGGAAAGGAACTTGCCTTATTTTTTTCATATCTGACGAACAGATTACAGTGCGTGTTTCTCGATAATGTGGAGTCACAATTGGCTCCCATTTTAAGAGGGGTTCCACAGGGATTTGTATTGGGCCCTGTTCTATTTCTAATATATATTAATGACTTACCGCGTATCATGAAACACTGTACTAGTGTTATGTTCGCAGATGATACGACTATCCTATCCAAAGATGACACGATCTCGAGCAGAACTTGTTTACCGTCCTCTAATGAATGGTTTGCTGCAAACGATTTAAAGTTAAATAATGTCAAAACTCAAAACGTTACTTTTTCATCTAGTAAAGTCAAAGTAGCTGGGTCAGTAAACCTGCTAGGAGTAATGCTCGATGCCGGTTTAAATTGGTCGCACCATGTTCGAAATTGGCGTCCCAAATTTTTGCACTCAGGCAAATATCGAGTTTTTCAGAAAAATCAGTACTAAGAACAGTCTATTATGCAATCATACATAGCCATCTGAATTATGGTGTCATGTTCTGGGGCGGCAGTTATCACTCTCAGAAGGCTTTTATTCTCCAAAAAGCTGCCTTGAGGATCATTGACGGTGCAGAACTCGACATGCTGTTTAAAAGGTACGTGATTCTTCCATTGCCTTGTCTGTATATACTGGAATCATTAAAAGAAATTTTTAAAAAACGTAATTCATTGGATTCGAATAATAATTATCATAGCTACAATACAAGGAATGCAGAGAGTCTAGTTCCTTTTAAATCAAGAATTTGCCTGACGCATAATAATAAGTTGGATTTGGCCCTTTATAATCAATTCGTTAAATGTCATAGGGATATCAATACCATTCAGTGGTAGAGTCCCTGCCTGCGGACATAATGGTTCCAGGTTCGAATTCCACCGTTGGCCGGGATTTTTTTATTTAATTAATTTATTTAAAATTAATTCTGATGCCTTGGTAGGATTTCCTACTCGACCACTCATTGTCATGTTCTAATTAACAGTGCTGTTCCTAAAGTGGCGCTGGGAAACAATAATAAAGCCTGCACAGAAACGAGGCGATATAACCATTAGTAGTTGAAGCCGATGACATCATATAATAATAATAATAATAATTATAATAATAATAATTTGATTTTTTCCTAATCAATCCCCCTTACTCCTCCTATTTGCAATCAGATTTCTTTTAAATCAATAATCTTTGTCCCCTTACAGAGCAATTTCATGATGATATCATGTTTCGTTTTTGACTTATGATTTTTTTTAACTTCCCTTCAACCCCCCATTTTTTATTAGATTTTTTTATAATCGATAGGCTTTGTCCTCTTATAAATCTTGATTTTTATTAAAAATGTTAAGTTGATATTTTTTTTCTTTTTTATTTTTCCCCCCTGAACCTCCCATTTTAAATCGGATTTTTTTTAATCAATGGTCTTTGTCCCCTTATAGAGCTTGATTTTCCTAAAAATTTCATTTCGATATCATGTTTCGTTTTTGATTTATGATTTTTTTAACCCCCCCTTAAATCCCACACTTTTTTCAATAGGCTTTGTCCACTTATAGAGTTTCATTTTTTTTAAAACGTTCAAGTTAATATTGTTTTTCAATTTTGATATGATTTATTTTTAGGTTTCAACCCCTCCCCCTTCCTTAATTCACACATTTTTAATTGTATTTTTTTTAATTAATAGTCTTTGTCCCCTTATAGAGCTTGATTTTTCTGAAAATTTCATGTTGATATCATGCTTCGTTTTTGATTTATGATTTTTAAGTTTCAACCCCTCATAAACCACCCATTTTTTATCAAAATTTATTTCTTAATCATTAGACATCGCCAACTTATAAACTTTGATTTTTCTTAAAAATTTCAAGTTGTTATTGTTTTTCAATTTTGATTTATGATTTTTTTTTTAAATTTCACCCCCCTTCCCCTTAAATCCCTAATTTTTATTCGTTTTTTTTTAATCAATAGCCTTTGTCTTCTTATAGAGCTTGATTTTTCTTAAAAACTTCATGTTGTTATCATGTTTCTGTTTTAACTTATGATTTTTTATATTTTAACCCCCCTTAAACCCTCATTGTTTTTTAGATTTTTTCATAATCAACAGACTTTGTTTACTTATAGAGTTTGATTTTTCTTAAAAATATCAAGTTGTTTTTCGTTTCTGATTTATGATTTTTTTTGAACACTTTTAACCAGATTGTTTCAAAATCAATATGCTTCGTCCCCTTATAGAGCTTGATTTTTTCTTAAAATTGATTTTTCCTAAAAATTTCAAGTTGATATTGTTTTTCGATTTTGATTTATAATGTTTTTTTAAGTTTCCACCCCCACCCTTATATCCCCCATTTTTAATCAGATTTTTTTTCATAATCAATATTCGGTGTCCCCTCATAGAGCTTGATTTATAGACTTTGATTTTTCCTAAAAAAGTTGATATTATTTTTCAATTTTGATTTATATTTTTTTCAAATCCACCCCCCCTCCCTTTAAAGTTCCAATTTTTATTCGTTGTATTTTAATTAATAGCCTTTGTCTTCTTATAGAGCTTGATTTTTCTAAAAAAACTCCATGTTGATATGTTTCGGTTTTGACTTATGATTTTTTAAAGTTTTAACTCCCCTTAAACCCCCATTGTTTATTAGATTTTTTTCATAATCAACACATTTTGTCCACTTATAGAGTTTGATTTTTCTTAAAAATTTCAAGTTGATATTGTTTTTCGTTTTTGATTTACGATTTTTTGAATTTTCAATCCCCTTTAAACGCTCACAAAAAATGACTGACGGACGGACGGCTTCTTGAGAGAAATTTTATAATATACTAAGACTTCTACCAGGCCAACTAAGATTATTATATCAACTTTAATTTATTTTACAACATTAGCTTCCAAAGCAACGATGCCAAGTCAGTGGACGCTCTAGAATCGAATGGGTATCAAGGAAATCGTATACTTTCTATATACATCAGCGCTGCAAGTGCCTCTGGTAGTAATAGTATTGAACTAAAGTATACGCGAGCCGTATTATTTTCATGCATTTTTTCATCATTTTGGCGTCTCTCAAAAATTTTGCCATCACGTTTCTGACGTCATTATAGACCTCTGGAAAAATTTTTAATGGGCACCGTCTTAGAGCGTCTATATACGGACGCTCTAAATACCTGGACGCTCCAATGAATGCGATTTAAGAATGTACGGACGCTCTATCTATAGTAAGATATATATATATATATATATATATATATATATATATATATATATATATATATATATATATATATATATATATATATATATATACTTAATTTGTCATTTGTATCCAAATTGATGTTTGATTGGTTTTATTGTATTTATTATAACTTTGGGGTTTTCTTGCTGGTTCTTTCCCCTTATTTGATAAATTAATTATTGTTTTTTATTGCACCGAACCAGACCTATATTTAATCTTTATAAATATATTTTATATACTTATAAATTTTTACATTCTGATTCTGTCATCTATAATATTTCCAATAAAGATTAGATATAAATCAATAAATGTTTTCTTTTAACCTTTATCACTCCCTCAATAACACGTAAGTAGCCAATAGATAACGAATCTTGCAGTCTGTCACTCGTGGTGTCCTAGTCACTTCATAGTCGATCACGCCGCCACTTTATTTATCATACTTTTATAAAAGAGAGAGAGATATTAGTTAAGTTGTCTCTCTTTATTACAGTTGGTTACACTACAATAAAGAACCATTAAAAAAATGAAAACACATGTTTTGATAAATTAATAATTGTTGCTAATTTTAATTAGGAAAAAAGAAACAATTGTATTTACAGTAATGATCTATTTTAAAATAAAACACTGTCAACAATCACTCACTACTTCTGTCCTTTCAGTTTCATTTTCCTGATCTTTAAATAAGAACCACTTTTTTTTATTCACTAAAAATAGCATCATTAACAATGGCAAGTGAATTAAAGAAAATCTAAATAGTTTTCGTGAAGACGAACTGGAGGCATCTTTGTAGAACTGGTAAGCTAAAAATTAATTACAAAATATAATCTGAAAAATAGATATTTGTTGAATTGGTATAATACTTACCTAAATAAATAAAGTACAAATTAAGTGGAGTTGCCTCTAATAAGAACCACCAATTAGTAGTGTCCAAAAAAGGAGCAATCGTACACATTGCCTGTAAGGCAACAGTATGTCTTAGGGCAACTCTTTTGCATAGTGCTGGATCTGTAACAGCCATCATTCTGTAACCTGCTCTTGAGTAGTCTGGTCTTAGGTTCCAAGATAGAGCATTGAAATGGGGAAACTGCCAACTGTAGAGTAAAGCAGCCATTAACCAAGCTCCAGGTCCAAGAGAGTCAGCACAAGCTGCCCAACCCATCAAAGGAGGAATAGCACCAACTTAAAATAACAGTACATTTTAATTTGGAATGTTCAGTATATACAGTGCTACTCAAAAAGTTTTAACTGTTAACGAAATTTGGAGGGTGAAAATAAACGGTTCTAAGCTCCTCTGCTAGTGGTAACAGATGACCGCATGGTCATATATAACCTCAAACAGCCAATGTGATCAATAACTTTAAAAGGGACCTTATGCAAAATTGCAAAGCAGTCTAGGAAAACTGAGTCTCTCAACTCTAAACTTCAAATTACACAGTCTGCAATACATGAATATGACAAAACCATAATATAAAAAGATGAGAAAAAATTAAAACTGTAATTGGATGTTAAGGAGTTGGATACTATAATCAGGAGCATGCTAACTACAAAGAGGATGTTGGAGGCTGAAATCATTGATTGTGAGAAAACCATTTGGCATGCTTAAAATTTAAAACGAAAACTTTTTGGATGTAACTAAAAAATTTTGCATTGGAGGAGAACCAAAGAAATATGACTGATCAGCTTACACAATTAAAAAATAAGAACATTAAGCTGATTAAAGATCTTGAAAACAATATAATGTACCTAAACAAATTAAAAAGTTTACAAATTGACATCAAGAATAAGAGTTTTAAAAGTGGCAACACTGAACTAAAGAATGCTTAGAAACAGAAAAAGATTTTTGATGTTATCAGATGAAAATGAAAGAGGTACGGACAGTGAATTAAGAAAATGTTTTATCGAGTGTGTATATTGAGATAATTTTAAAACCTGGAGCAGAATTTAATAGAATACTGGAAATCTCACTAAAAACTTTAACTCAAAAGATTATGTAGTTATTATGACAGGGAAAAATTAAAAGCAAACAAATTTAATTTTTTTATGAATACCTATAGGTATTTAAAACTTATACAGAGTGTTTCAGAACTATGGGATCAAACTTCTAGGGGTTATTCAGTGCAACAGTAGAAAACATTTGAGGGTAGGAATCCATGTCCGGAAAAGTGTCACTACAGCCCTAAGACGCGTCAAAATTTAAAAAAACGATGAATTACCTAAATAGGATTTAATGCATTTAAGTTTTGCCTTTTGTACATGATATCATCACAACAATTGTTCAAAATGTCTTCCTCCAACCTGAATATACCGATTTAAACGTCGCACATGATTTCGGCGAACTTGACTAAAAATTTGATGCTCGTTTTGAATGATTTCAAATGCTGCTGTAATTTGTCCAATTAAGTCTTGCTCTGTTTCTACTGGAGTTTCGTAAACCAAAGACTTTACATGTCCCCACAGGAGGCCAAGAAACTGCTCCACCTCTGGCAATCTAACGGTGACCAAACCGCTGAGCCAAATCTTCACGTACTTGTACAGCAAAGTGAGCCGGCGCTCAATCATGCTGAAACCACATTTGCTGTCGAACGTTTATTGGAACATTTTCAAGAATTTCTGGAAGAACTTCCTCCAAGAAACGCCGGTAAATAGGTCCTGTGCAGCGATTTGATGAAGAAGCCATTGACAAAATTGAACTCTAGGATGATAATCGGCTGCAGGCAATCCTTGAACTTTCTGGAAGTGGTGAGGATAAAGTCGTTACTCGTGTAGCACCCGCCAGACGGAAGCGTTACTTGTATTCATATCCTTAGCAATGTGACGTGTGCTACTTGACGGTTCGTCAGCAACTCGCTGAAGGACCTCTTCTTCAAATTCGACCATTCTTACGGCTTTAGCAACACCAGTATTATCATGCATGTTGATTTTAAACATGCCTGTCTCGGAGAGCCGCCGATGAATAGCAATAAACTTTTTGTATCCCGGATGCTGTCGTTCGGGATAACGTTCTTGATACAACCGCGCTGCTGCTCGTGCATTGCAGCTTGTTGCTCCGTATGCCAAATGCATATCCGCAAATTCTTGATTGGTAAAGTTTTTCATTAGCAACAATTAATTTTTGTTAAATGCTTGCAAACTTCACAAATATGATAGCACGACTAAGGCGATATGGAATGCAGCTACAAAAAACAATATCTGTTATTGTTTTTAAAGATAACAACACACAAGCGCCGGTAAATTGTTTAAAATCATCAGCTATAAAATTTTTAAACATTGACATTTTGAACAATTGTTGTGATGATATCATGTACAAAAGGCAAAATGAAATGCATTAAATCCAATTTAATGCATTTAATTTTAACGCGTCTTAGGGCCGTAGTTTCCTAGTGACACTTTTCCGGACATGGGTCCCTATACTCAAATGATTTCTACTGTTGCATTGAACCCTAGAAGTTTGATCCCATAGTTCTGAAACACCCTGTATATGCCACGTTTGAATATCCTCATCCGATGCATTTTTTACATCTCGAGCGTTTGTTAATCCACATCGGACACATCTACTACATCTACATCTGCGTTTGTTTATCCGAGATGTACCTGCCCAGATTACATTTTTTACATCTCGATTTGTAATGAGATGTGAATGAGATGTTCGTTCCATGCCAGAAAGTAAGTGTTCTGTGAAGCCAAGATTGTCAATTTATCCTTTGTTTATGCTAGTATGAACATAAAAGTGACTAGTTTGTTTAATTTTTGTTTAGATTTCAAATGTAAGTTGATTTGTAATGTCAAAAGTCAAATAGAAAAAGTATAAATTTCTAACTTGTCATTGACATTTTATCACGTGACCAATAAAGTATGTTTATTACATCTACATTCAGATCTAATTCTCTATCATGTGATAAAAAATTCACAACATCTCAGATGCATCCGATGTGTATATTCAAACGTAGCAATTAAACAATTAAGGTAGTTCACTCGTAAAACGGCTTTTCTTAAGAATTCAATAAAATTGAAATATAAGGTTTATGAAAGTGTCTTTTACGTAACTAAAAAAAAATTAGATTTTTTGACCGTCTGTGAAACGAGATATTAATAATCAAAATGTGCATAATTAACACTCTTAAAGCGTGTCATGTACATAAGCAATGCATTTATTTCAAGATATCTCAAAAACGGTCCTTACCATATTTTTTAAAGAGTAATGTTAAATAAATCAAGAAGTTATAAAATTTTATAAAAAATCGCTGAATTTTTTGACCGTCTTAGTAAAAAGATATAGATTTTTAAAATAATAATATTTTTAAAGCAGTTGACGAGTAGTTTCGTAAAATTATTACAACTTGGCAACATTGTAACCACTTCACGTAACAAAGTAACACTCGATCAGCTAAAAGATTGTTATAAACTCGCGACGTGTTCTTGAAAAATTAATTCGTCCACTGTGTTAAGAACTGGAATCAGCGGTTCTGTTTGAAACGAAACAAACCCTTAAAATTAGTATGAGGAAGTCACAAATTTCTATACCATACCGCGAGATTGCCGGATGAATTTGATTAAAATTATAACATGTCCATATGTGTTTATATACATGTGTTTTGTACAGTCTCTTACAAAAATAAAATTGATTAGCATTGAGAATCTCGAACTTTTGGTGTTCACCATTACGCGATATTTTTATGTACGACTGTCGCGAGTGAACTACTTGAAATAATTTTAAGTCTAAATTATTAAATTTATATAGTTATATAGACTGGTATCAGAAAAACTCCTTCTCTTTTTTTAATGTTAATTATAAGAATGATTGAATATCAAGCACAGATGGAAATGCTTCTACATCCAATAACAAAAAAAAAAATAAACAAAAAAATAAACCTTTGCATGTTTCATTTAATCACTTAAAGTTTAATGTCATTTTGATAAATTTCAGCCTTAGTTATGTCAAAAAATCCATTACTAATGTGCCTTTCTGAAACACATCTTACTAATGAAATATTCGATTGTCAAATTACTATAAAAGGTTATAATAGTTATAGGGTTAAGAGTGACAGTCGGCACACGGGTGGGGCTTTAATCTACATAAGTAATCAATTAAAGATTTTGAGTTATTTAAAAATTTTGCACACAAAAAATATTGGATAATACTAGTGAAATTTTTATTTGAAAACAGTAATTACTTAGTTATTCGTTTAGACAGATCCCCTATAGTTCTTTTTTTGGCTATTCTGAATATTTTACAAATGACTTTTTATGCAATTGTAATTTTTAATATAATTGTAACACATGATTTTAACATTAACTTGATGCATGTCAATACATATTTATAGAGGTAAATTAAAAAATTGTATTACTGACAGTGGTTTGAAAAATATTGTTTCACAAGTTACCCAGCCCTTAAACAATGTTGGCTCACTTATAGATCTTGTGGTAACTAATTCTGAAAACAGTGTAGAAATTGTTTCATCACCTAGAATAAGTACACATTTTAATATATCTAGACTGTATGCCACTAACCAAAGAACCATAATTAATTGAAAGTAGAGGTAGAATTATCGATTTTGATACTATTATTGAAACATTATCTAGGGTTGAATGAAATAGGATTATTGACAAATGTTAAAGACAATATTGCCCCACTCATCCACTTAAAATTAGTTCAATTCAAAAGTACGCGCCAATCGTTACTTCCGACAACACATGTCATTTCCGCTCTAGAAAAAGGACAGTGTAGAAGAAAAACATCGCAAAAACGAGTAGTTGGCAATAGGAGGCGAGTTCGGATAGTCAGGGGCTGGAGCGGGACAAATTTTAGGGTGCTTTTAAATGACATTTAAGCGTGTTAAACTGTCACTAATCGGACTAAACCGAACGCTAAAAGAGTCGTTTGGAGTTAAAAGTGTTAAAGGAGTTAAAGGAACTTGGCAGACCGAACGCAATGAGGGAAGGGTAAAACAGTGACTTTTTAATAACAGGTACAGTCTGCTTCAGTTCCATAAAATACCTGTTTCAAAAAACCTGTTCCAGTTCCAAGTTGTTCCAACAATTTAAACCGTTGTTTGTTCTTTCGCGTCTGTTGCGACTTGCGAGCGCGGAGTTCCACATACAGAAACACCGAAACCGATACCGAAACTAAAACAAGACAGTTTTACGTCGCCGGAACACTTTGATTTTTTAAGGTTTCAACT